ATGGCAGTAAAAAATATATATTTTATATGGCGGTTGAACAGAAATCATTGTCTAATCTTTTAACTTTAGATGGCGGTTGAACAGAAATCGTTGTTTAATCTTTTAACTTTAGATAGTGGTTGAACATAGATTGCCATCTAATTATAGTTTACACTTTAGATCGCAGTTGAATGACAACCCTCTTTCATGACACTTCCTAACTGACCTTTGTGTAATATTTAAGAAAATCACTAATTGTCCATAAGAGCACTCCTCTTAACGTAAAATACTCATTCTTGTGTAAGCATCATATGTGGCGACCCTCCTAAGAGGCCGTCACCGTAGCTTATTTTTCACTTGTACTTACTGGGGTTTCTTAAAATTTGCGAAACATTTTTTTTTTTTTTTATATAAGAAGGAATAATTTCATAATTCGTAACAATAATTTCAAAAGAATGAATCACTAAATTTTCTTAAAGTTTTTCTTAATTTCAGCTAAGATAAAACCTTCTAGAAATATCTTTCAAACGGAGCTGCGTTTGAACTCTTGTTTCAAATACTCTTTAAAAGCCTTTCTAAAACTAGCCAATTCAATCGGGCCATTTAATTTGACTTTAAAACGGATTTCGTGAGAAATCTTAAATTCAAGTACGCCTTAAAATCCTTTTAAAATCAATAATTTAAATCGTCATGTTTAAAATTCGTTTATTTGTTGCATGCATTGTTGCAACGTTCTGAAACTTAAATACTCAAACTAGGGTTGTTAGCTACAACCTCAGTTTTCTTAACATACAGATGTACATATACTTTTTAAATATACAAGCTTTGAAACCTTTAAATCATCTATACATATACATGATTTTACTTGAACTTACTGCGGAAGATTTTAAGTGTTAGCGGTATCCATTCCCATCTCCACCATTCATCCGCCGCTCGACATTGCCCTTCAAAAATTGATGATAGGTTTCTTACATACATCATGAACATATCTGATTGAGATTTTGCTCAGCAAGTAGGAACTATATCTCACAAAATAACTGTAAATACACATGAATAAATATGAATGAGCTGATTATGCTTAATTATGATGTCTTATCATAGTCTTATTATCTTATCTTATCTTATCTTACCTTTTCTTTCTTTCTTGTGGGCCCGAGTGCTTGCCTACCACTTGCGCGTAATCATCGGGACGTGAGGGTTTGCAAGGTCCCCCACGACACCGTGATTATAACTTGAATGCCTCCCTTGAGTCGGAGGACATTATTATTTTTTTTTTCTCCCTTGTGGAGCTTGAGTTACCTCCCTTGTGGAGGTTGGTACGACACTGAATTGAGATTATTCTTATAACTTCCTCTTGACTTATTAAGGTGTATGCAAAATGACATGGCATCGCATACAATACTTAAAGCATAAACATGGATATATAACATGTGTAACTTTTTCTTTAAAATCTATTCATGCTGTAGGCGAGATTCCTACTTACCTGATTTACAGAGCTGGAATCCACTTTTTGCCAAACAGCCTATTCTCTTACTTGCTTACTTCTGAAAATGAACACCCATTGAGAGTGTGAGATGATCTGTCGTTTGCTATTCTATTTTAGCAACTGATGAAGGAAATCTAGCTCTTTACTTAAGGCATGTATTCCTTTCCTTTTCTGAAGGATAATTTACTATACGAATCAATTTGTTAATCCTAAAAATCTTATTTTCCTTAATTGCCCTTAACATACTTATGTCTAGATTGAAAATCATTTACCAAATCTAGTAACTTATTTTCCATAATTTTCCTCATTGGACTTATTATGATATTAAGGCCCAATTCGGCCTAGAAACTTATTCACGACATTCTAACTCTTAGGCCGTTAAAATTTAAACTCAAACGGAGTCTCTTAAATCAATGCGGGCGTTGGACCCACATCAAACCTTTAAAATTCTACGGTGCTATCATATTGGGCTCGTGGGTGCCCGTCGAGATAATTCGCTCGATAAACCACTATGTTTTTTACAGAAAACATTTTTTCTTGAAAACTTTCTTTACGAATACTTTCGTTAAAATGTAGTTTAATGCCATTGTATTTTACTGAAATCCTATCTCTGGTTCTTTAATGACTTTTTGTTAAAACCGACACTGTTTAGTTTTATTTTGTCAAAAACTGTGCAGTTTTCTGAAATCTATGTTATACTACATCATAGAGTCAGATTTCAAAATTTTGTTCTTTATGACAATTCTTCGTCTTATTGAGATCTAAAATTGTCATTTTTAGTGAAAGTTGAAATTCAGCACCTAAAGGCCTCGTTTGGCTGAAAACAGTGGCTGCTATTTTTTTCTTTTGCTGTAGGAAATACTGCATCAATCTTTTAAAATGCTGCGGATGCTATAGTAATGCTGTAGCAAAAATTTTCTTTTTTGAAGCTGTGTTGGATAGCTTGTTCGTTTTTTATAAAATGGCTTCAAACTTGCTTTTAGAGTTAAAGTTGGGTTTTATTATTATCACCGAAAATGTTCAAAACATTGAGGGCTATAAGTTCAAGCTTTGAAAGATTGAAAAATGTCGCTCTAGGGTCCTCATTTTCGCGTTCAAAGTAACCAAAATTTTTTTCCTCTAACCGAAAATAAGCAACTTAGATCAAGCATAAGCATACCACATATTGCTAATCAACCTAACCTCAAAACACACAAAAACCAACATAAAACTCACACACCCTTATTACAACACATCTCCTCAAGAACCACAAATTTACATCCATAAATTCAATCTTAAAGTTGGCTATAAATTAATGGAGAAGAGTTTAAGAACTTACCCTTGAAGAACTCTCTCTCTCTCTCTCTCTCTCTTGAAAACCTTTGAACTACTCTAAGATTTGTTAATGGCTTGGAACTAGAAGAGTATAAGGAATTTTGAGAAGAATATTTCTATATTTTCAAACTTTACTAAAACATGAGAAAGAGAGGATTTAGAGTTTCTTTACCCTTGGAGGAATGCTTGACTAGTCTCCTCCTAGAATCCCTTGATCTCCTTCTTCTTCTTCTATTGTTTACTAGTGGCTTAAGGTTGGGAGAGTGGAAGAAAATATTTGAGAGAGAATGGAGAGTGTGGCCGGATTTTTGAGGTGGAGAGAAAAGCGAGAAAAAAAATGAGACTTACCCTATGATGGTTCCTTTTATAGGCAAGTTTGTGATCATTATTTAACTCCAATTCCACTCCATTATTCAACCAAATTTTTGGTTCAAATCCCCCTTTCTTGGCCAGTTTTAGGTGGAGAAAAATTGAAGCAAATATACCATGATTTCTCCTTCAACCACTACCATCACATCACCTTAACATGTAACCTTCTAGCACACTCATCTAGCCAAAGTTTGGCTCTATTTTTTACTATGCATGGCCGGCCAAGTGGAGAAGGAGAGAGAGAAAAATATAACATACCCCTTGTACTTTTGTCCACTCTCTTAAGTTTTCTTGAAACTGCTAAAAATTATACTAACTGTAGGTAAGTAACTTAGCCGACAGGAAATTCTAGTTTCTGACGGTTCCTTTTCTATTGCTTATTTACAGTTTAATATTAATTCCCCGACTACTTTGAGATCACATTAAATTCTTACTCGCGTAATATCTTGGACTGTTTCAAGTCTTGAAATTAATTCTAGACTGAACAAATTCTAAATTTAACTTTTCTGCATTAAATCCCGGGAATGACACTGTTTCTGATGGTGTCAACTCCCGAGCTCACATTGTACCCTTCTACTATGGGTATTTATCTTGTGATTTTAACCTAGCTGTCTCGCATTTAACGATTTTTTCTTCTTTTAAAATGTCAGTGCGTTTTTTTATACGCTGCTAACAACGTGTTGTGCTTAGAGATTCTTGAAATTAAGATTCTCAAACTATACTTGTACTGAAAATTATTCCGCCTTAAAGTACAGCGAGAATTTATCGATTGAATTTACTTGATCGAAAACATGAACTGAACATGAAATCTGCTATAGAATTTAGAAATACAGATATTAATTCTATAAATCCTTCAGTCACATAATATTTTCTAAGAAAATCCTTGGCTTAAATAAATAAATTGTATTATATAATGTCTGAGATTTTCTCAGTCATTACAATCTACCCCCCTTAAGAATTTTCGTTCCGAAAATTTGAACAACTCGGGGTAGCTTTTCCTCATATTCTATTCGCGTTCTCAAGTAGCTTCCTCAATATTATGATTTCGCTACAAGACTTTAACCAGAGAAATTATTTTATTCCTTAAGGTTTTCTCCTCGCGAGCTAGGATCTGGACTGGTTTCTCCTCGTAAGTGAGGTCTGCGTGTACTTCGACAGGTTCCTGATGCAATACATGCGATGAATCTGTCTCATACTTCTTCAACATCAATACGTGAAAGATGTTATGTACATAAACTAATTCTGACAACAATGCTAGTCTATATGCGACCTTACTAATCATTTCGAGGATCTCAACGGTCCAATGTATCTTGGGTTGAGTTTCCTAATAAAAAATTATTTATTAGGAAGTGCAATGTGTAAACATTACATGATGGTTTATAGCTTGAGGCGCCTTTTTGTGTGTGTGTGTGTGAAGGAGTATAGCCTTAAGTTTTATGTTGATGACATTTTCCGTATTTGCCTCAACAGAGCCATGACACCAACCACCATGCGCATCCAGCTGCTAGTGTTGCAACCGTTGGCTCATTAGGTGACAGTATTCTGTTGATTGTGGCTCATGTTTTCACTCCCTTTTTGAGGGAATGACTCCAATCTTGGACAAGACACTAAATTTATAAGAAATTATTAACAATTTCTAAATCTAAAGACGACATAGATTTTGCAGGACGCCATAAAGGGCACGATAAAACCTTATCTTGATACAAGTAAAAATCTAACTTTACAAAAGATCATTTTGAATGGAGCAACATAATGGACAGCAATTAAGTTCAAATCAAAATTTCATCATAAACGACTCCTAGGAAAATATACCAAAAATACAAGATCCGAGTACCAACAAAAATTACAAAATTCCCAATGGAAAGATAAATTTTTTTCTAATATAATTTAAAAGGAAAAAAAATTGCCACACCAGACGTAAACTAACCATTTCTTTTGCATGTTTTGCTCTTCCTGCATTTCAAATTCAGAACAAACATATTAAACAGAAAATTTCAGTGGCCAAAATCAACTTATGGACACAACACCACGCACACAAAGTCTGCTTGTTGATAATTAATTAAAAAATGGGATAATGGTCAGCGATAATATTTCGCCATGAAAATTTTCAATTAACCTCTGCAAACTAACTCTTAAGAAAGTTCACACACAAATATGAAAAGCAAAGGAAAAAAACAAGTGTCTAACTTGTATACAAAAAGAAGAAGAACGCTAAAGTAACAGGGAAATATATATAGAAGAAAAAGAAACAAATTTATCAATTGTTATTAACTAAAGTAGAACGAAATTCATATTTATAATACCTGAGGAGAAGATTGGAGCACACTGACGATGGGGGAGGGACAGAAATGCATAATGCTTTCTCATACTTTTTCCGAATTGATTCTTATGTTGGGGATGTGTTGATTGTTCCTCTCTGGCACCGAATTCCCCGCTCCTTCGAATTCACATCCACAGAGCCATCAGCTTTGAAGAGAGGAGAGTCTTTTCAAATCCCAATTCATACGGTCTGCAATGAGCATTGGGCAGCTATTGATATGTAGTGCCTTTAAAGTACTCTAATCTTGGGCAATCCACTAAATCTATAGATTCAAGAGAGGGATATGCGGAATCAATCTCCACTTGACTTAATGTTGGAAATAGACTCGCCATTTCTACACATGTATAAATTTGAATTGTTTCCAAGGATGGAAAACAACCAGCGGGTAGTCCAACTTTTAGCTTCTTACAGTCAAGTAAATAGATTTTCTTGAGACGAGGGAAAAGTTCTCCTCCTTGCTCAACTCCAGCAAATGACCAATTCTCCAACAAATCCATGTGACTGATTGTTAAGCTTTCTAAGGATGGAAATGGCTTAGTCAAGGAAGTACCACAAAATTCATCTCCTATACTTTCCAACCCATTCATACACTCAATCTCAAGCTCTCTGAGGGAAGGTAGTTGCCCAAATGAGGGCAACAAGCAACAACGTTCACAATGAATCAGAGACACTTCAACCAAGTTACTAAACGATTTATGTGCTACCCAATCTGGGAATATTGTACCCCTATAACCACTGATTTTGAGTTTCTTCAGCTTTCCATGCGGTTTCAACGCATCAAGTACTTGTCGTTCTTTTGTTGAATCGTCAATCTCTCCATACTTCCATTCTAAAATAAGCTCAGTAAGATGCTCTTTGTTCTTCAAATCAGCCTGTATCACGTCCCCAACATCCCCCACATTTTCAAGTCCTGAAATGCAAAGATTTCCACGCAAAGACTGTAGCTCCCCCAACTCTTTGATTCTAGAGCCACCATTTTCGCCCAAGACAAAATCACTTAACGACTGTAGATTTTTCAACTTGCACATCTGTGGCGGCATCTCTTTTAATCGCGTTCCTCCGATCACGAGATGACGTAGGTTGATTAAGCAACACATGCTAGTTGGCAATTCTGTAATTTTTTTACAATATAACAAAAACAGTGTTTGCAAGTTATACAGAGTGCACATTGAACTGGGAATTTCTTTGACGTTTGTACGTGATAAGTTCAAGTACCTTAAGTGTTTCATATTACCGATTGAATCTGGCAATTTTGTAATAGCAGATTCAGATAAAGAGAGAGCTCTTAAGCGTCCTCCAGCTCCTAGCAACAGTTCAAGCAGGACAGTATCTGTCAACATTGACCTACGCACGTAGGTATATGACAATGGTAAAGCTAGTAGGGTCCTCAAACACTTGGTTTTGGATAAAGCCTCTAATTTCATCATGACATTAGATTCTTTTCTGTAGGACAAATGACAAGTGTTTCTTGTAAGGCCATCCAGGTCATGGCAATCATTTAACATTAAACAAGACTCGCCAGATATGCGCATAGCTAAATCATGCACAAGATCATGCATAAGGAGAGTTGGTTCTCCAAACCAGTTATTTGATCGTTGAAAGAAGGACCTTGCTATTAGAACATCTAGGTACTCCTTTCCAACATCTTCCAGTCTTCTTCCTCTTTCAGGTTGCAAAAGTCCTTCCGCCATCCACAACATGACTAGAATTTCTCTATCCTTTTCATGAAACTCGTAATCTTTGGTGAATATTGAGCAATAAGCAAAGCATCGCTTTAGATGCGGAGGTAACCACTGGTAACTCAACCGTAATGCTGGAAGAATATTATTCTTCTGGTTTTCTTGAAATTGCAACTCCCACACGTCACTCTCAAGTATCCCTTTCCACTCCTCCGGACTTGATGACGAGCGTAGAACACCAGCAATTGATTTTATTGCCAAAGGAAGACCCTTGCACTTTTTAACAATTTCTTTACCCATTTCTTGTAAATCCGGATGTACCTGAGAGCCTCTATTTTCAAAGACATGGTTAGCAAACAACTTCCAGCAATCGTCCTCTGATATAATCGCTAGAGAATATGCTGGAACGGTACCCATCCTTGATGCAACAATTTCACTGCGTGTGGTCACAATAATCTTACTCCCGTAAGCTCCAGAGTTGAAAGGGCTCCTTAAAGCATCCCAAAGTTCGTATTTTTCGTTCCAAACATCGTCATGAACAAACAGAAATCTTTTCCCCATCAATAGAGTTTTCAGTGCATTTTGAAGTTGATATAGGTCCTGGATATCACATTTCTGAGAAGTGATCGCCTCAATAATTATTCTTGTAAGTTTAAAAACATCAAAATCCTCTGATACAGTTACCCACACCTTCAAGGCAAAATGATCTTGGACTCTGCTATCATTGTAAACAAGCTGAGCAAGTGTGGTTTTGCCCATACCACCCATGCCCACTATAGGAATCACAGATATCTTACACCCGCCATCATGATCTAATAACAACATTTCAACGATGGCCTCTTTCTCAGCATCCCTTCCATAAACATCACATGCGTCTACCAAAGGAGCTGGCAGTCTTTGAGGTCTGTTTTGGTGAACACCTTCTCTCAGACCAAGCTCTTCCTTTTGCCTCAAAAGAAGATCCAATCTTCGAAGGATCTCCTCAACTTCAGATTTCACACCGATTTCAAATGCACTATTCGACTTTGGCATGAAGTTGAAGAACGAACTTGCTTTGCTTCCAGATTGATCACTTTCTTCAATCCTGCGCCGAAGAGCTTCGGTGTTGACTTTGTCCATGACGTGGTCTGCCTCATAAAGCACTTGTTTAAGCTCATCAACCCACTTCTTCACGTTCTCATCTGTGAGTTGTTTCAACTCAGCATCATTCATCAACTTATTAGCAGACAACAACCTGATCTTTAACTCATCAAGAAGCTTGGCAAGGACTTCCTTTCCTCGGAAGAAGTTAAGGACCTCTTGAGTAGCCATCCTATCAAACAAGACATTAAGGAAGCCGGAGAGAAGAGCACTTCCCACGAGTTCAGCCATGGTTTCTCTTCCTCAAAAACAACTGAAATAAGATGGAAATGATGGTAAGCAGTAAGCATTCTAGAGTATAATTATGAGTCTAAAAACAGTTACTAGCTATCAAAAGAAACAAAAAGAATCACTCCAATCTTTCCTATTTTTCCTACTTTTCCAGTGATACTTTTTTTTTTTTTTTTGACGGAGTGGTTGAAGATTATATAAAATATTCTTCGTTTAATATTAACACTTTGATTTTATTCGTTTGCCTAAGTGAGGTTATTATTATTTAAGATATTTGCATAATAATGCTCTTCAAAATATTAATGAGTTTCCTTAACGTTTGAAAAAAAAAAAAAACAGCTCTATCGACGTATAAAACACAAATAATGTTTCGTACAATAGTTTGTACAATATCTTTAAAAAGTTTCAAGGATTCAAGTTAGCGGGTAGAGAATAAGCAGAGCTTAAAAACGGCTACTTCAAATGAAACGACATTGAAATAAGGAAAATAAATTGACCAAAAAATTAAAGCAAATAATATAAACTCCAACTATTTCTGTTCTTCAACCATGTTAATTTGGCCATATTTTTACATATTTGTCTTTTATTATTCAAGAGAGGGTTTAAAAAATAAAAATAAAAATAAAAATAAAAAAAGCCGAAAACATTACAAAAATTTAGATGGTGAGAAGAAAGAGATATACCTTTGGAGAATTAAGAGAATATTTTAATGCTAGTTGTAAACAGGAGAAGATAACTTTGGTTGTAGCAAGCTTTGCGCTTCTCTTTAATATAGCTCCTTTTAAGGATGAAAGTTTTCTCTTCTTCCAAAGGATCTGAAATAAGAATGCTGATCTAGATGGGAAAACACTCAAGTGGAGAATAACATGAGACTTTCGCAAGGACTTCTGTTCAAAGAAAATATCTCTGTGAACAAGGACTTCTGTGGTTCCAAGAACTTGCAAGGAGGGTCCACTTATAGAGTACTTGACCAGCGATAAATGCTTGTATAGTATATTTCTTCAATAATTGTAAGTTGTCATGGTTAGTATAATAATGTCATTTAACAAAAATTTATGTATTCTGTAATTTTTTTTAGAGCATGACACACTATCTTAGGACTTGTTCATTTGCACTTAAATTTAAAAAAAGTTTAAACTCAAGTTACAATTTTATTCAAATTCATGTTTTTTTTTTTTTTTTTATAAAATTTGAGTTTTAACTTGAGTTTTAATTTGAATTTTAACTTGAGTTTGGGGTTAAAATCTATGTTCGGTTGCATTTTTGAGGGCTCATTTAGTTCGTTGATTCGAGTTGATATGTGATTTTATGCGATAGCTTTTTATTGTAGTAAAAAAGTTAGATGTGATTGTTTTTTAGAGCTTTTTATTGTAGCAAAACTAGAATTCTAAACTCAAATCGGTGAAATAAACGAGATCTCAGGTGAATTCTAAACTTAAGTTGAATTTGAGTTATAATTTGAGGTGAAGTTGTAACTTGAGTTTGTGTTTGGATGTGCTCATTTGAGTTATGATTTGAATTGATAATCTATTTGAGTTTGTGTTTATAATGTGTCAAAACTTAAATTTGTATTTAGATAGTATTTTAATAAAAACTCAATGGTGATGAAAAATTTTAATAAAGTATATGGGTGGTGTTTTATTCGTCTCTTCGTTGTGAACACATAGAGAAAAAAATCATCTTAATCGAAATTAAAATAAAAAAGTTATAACGTTTTTAATAATAGAAAAAAAATTTTGTTCATTAACTTGAATTTTAGTTTAAGAACTTGAGTTGAAGGGCAAACTTGAACTCAAATTTTAGCCCCAAGTTCAAGTTAAAACTCAAGTTAAAACTCAAATTTTATAAACGAACATGAACTTGAATAAAGTTGTGACTTGAGTTGAAACTTTTTTTGAGTTTTACCCTAAAAGAACAAGCCGGAGTTTAAGGGTGTGTTCGTTTCATGGGTTTGGTTCGAATCAACCCAATTTGAATCAGCTCAATGACCCAAATCAGTGTTCGGTTGTCCACAGTTGAAACCCTAACTCGAATTGTGATTCGAGTTGAGCTGCCAGATTGGAATTCAATGCAGGCGTGAAATCCATTAATTCAAACCTGCCTCTACAGTAATTCCTCTCTGCCCAACTCAGGCAAAAGCCTGTGGGATTCCCTACCGTTTCTCTCCTTTTTTCACCGAAAGCTCTCCTCTCTGTCGTTTCCCATCATCCACGGCGTTGGAAAATTGCAGAAAGCTCTCTCTTCTAGCTTGGTGAAGTTCCACTCCCATTATTCGAGCCTGCCTCTCATCTTCTCTGAACAACTCATCAGGCAAAAGCCTGTGGGATTCCCTCGCGCTTTACCGTTGTTTTGTTTTTTCTCTCCTCTCTCTGTTGTTTTCCCTCATCCACAGTGATGGAAAATTACAGATAAAGCTCTCTCTTCTACCGTGGTAAAGTTCCACCCTCAGATCTGTTTATGCATGTGGGTAGAACCTTTTCCGCTGCCTTCTTCGCTTCCCCCAAAACGGAAGAACTATATGGAAAAATCCGCGATCGGCATCCTCCGTTGGCAGTTGTTTTGAGCAGATATGTCCGTAACTGGCGACCTCAAACCCTAAATCGCTGTCATTGGTTGATAATTTTACGGTACCACTATCGGCGACGGAGGAATTGCAATATTCAGTCCTCATCACGATTGGAGTTCTTGTTGGGGACGCACACACATTCATCCATTGGGTCTAATTCGGTAAATTTTCTCTGCTTTCCCTTGCATCGTTTCTGTTGCCTCCATGAATTTGTTATGTGTTGGGCTTTGCAATGTCAAAAAAAATTGTCGGATTGAACTTTAATTTGGAGGATTTACATTAATGTTTGACAACAATGTGAACAAACCTTGCGATGTAACCATAGAGGCTGTTTTCAACCATACTCTGCTCCTCTCTGCATGTAGATAGCACCCCACTGCGAATAATGAACTCTTGCCTTCTTGTTATTATACGCAGTTATCTCACTGGCATAAACCTGCCTTAACTACACTTTGGATTAACAGGATTTGAATTTCATAGATTAACAGGACAAAATTTTGTATGTTTAGCAAATTTAGGCAAACCTGATGCTATGGCCACCATTGCAAAGACTTGCAATATGTAAGAATATAGGCTTTAGAATCTGTAAACGAAACTGAATTTAAGGATATAGGCTTTTGTTCTACACTCATGTTAGGCCTATCGGATTTTGGCTGCACACAGCTGGGTTGCAACAGATAAGTGTGGAGTCTATAAACAAAAAAATACAAACACCCATTGATCGGCCATTTTATGTGCACTATGGGTTTATAGATGTTGGATTTGAGCTTAGATATAGGTTACACCTGCCTGGCCACTCCTACTAATAATGGTATATTAATATATTAACCTTAGGTCTATAATGCTTTGCTCAGCTGTTCTTGTTTTTGGAAGTAAGTGTACAATACTTTTTCATTTATCGTAATTAGCTCTCATTTGAAATCGTCATATCATAATTCTGATGCATTCTTTGTCTCCCGTTTATATAAATATGCTACACCTAATCCAGAGATGAGAAGATCATACGTTCTTGTTCATCTTGGCCAGATTATTGGCAATGATGGATCATTTTTCCTATGCATATCAGTTTCGTTGTAGCGCTATCCTTTTGGTATTTAGGCATTTATCAGTTGCTGCTTCATTTATACGGGTTATGATGGATTGCACCATGCCATAAGGTTAGTGCTCCGAAACTGTGAAAAGCAATGTGATCCCTAACCTGTTAGAATGAGGCCTGGTAGCATAACTACCATGCCATAAGGGTAGTGCTCCGAAACTTATATGATGCTTTAACACAAATTTATGAGCCAAATTAGTTGACATGTTTTGCTTTAATCATCCATTCTTCTTTGACGTGGCATATGTCTCTTTCTTGTCGTCGGTGGTCATCTTCATGTTATGTAATAGATGCCGCGAAGGAATGAAGATGACGTGACTTTCTATTGGTCAGAGAAACAAAAACATGCGCTGTTAATCCGCCTTGCGGATTACAATAAGAACAAGATAGGATGTCAACTAGATTCAGCAGATTGGGAGCAATGGGCAAATGATTTATCCCCTCTATTTTCCACTCCTATTCCCCCAGCCCGAGTGAAAGAGGCAAAGGAAAGACTTAAAAAGAAATTCAATGCTGAGCTTACCCTGCGCACGAACACCGGTCTCGGATGGGATCCCGTTAAAAATTGCCCAACTTGTACGGAGGAATATTGGAATGACTTCTGCGAGGTTAGTACTTTCATTACGTACTACAGTATATCTGCTTTCCTATTACAAATTTGTAGCTATTTTTGACTTCCAAGTTGCTTTTTAAGCAGTCGCACAAATGGACAAAGCGGGCACGCAAAGACCCACTAAAAAATTACGACCTCTACTACGAGGCCTTCGCGAGTAGGCGTGCACGTGGTGCATTCGAATCCAAGATGGACGATACTGATGAGGAAAATGAAACCTCACAGCCGCACATAGAGGATGAGAATGTGGTTGGCAGAACCTCTCAAGCTGAGGACACTGAGGAAGGTTTTGTTCAAACAATGCGAAGTGCCCTACATTCGTCGGGACGCCCATTGAATATTGCCTCTTCATCGCGGCCAATCTCGAAGCAACCAAGCAAGAGTGGGGTAAGAATGATGGATCCAGAAGCGAAGATCTTTTTAAAAGTATAGCCAATACTCTTGAAAGTCACCAGTCTAGCAAAGGCACTAGTTCAGGTGCTACCCAGCCTGGGGCTACGCAGGCTGGTGAAATGCTGACTTCAACCTTTGACCATTGTTGTGAAGTCATAAGTGAAATGCTACTTGACGACGAACAGGTTGTATCTTTCAGTGAGTATTTAAACTGGAACCCAAATTGTCAAAACTTGTTCTTACATTTGAAAGAAAGCCAACGGCTTCTGTATGTGTTGAAAACATTGAAGGCCTTGTGCAATCAACAGATCCCACCTACTGGACCCACATATCCATTCTTCATGCCTCACGGAACACCATTTATGGGTTCCCAACCATTCCAGATGCAATCCCAGCAACAATTCCCACAACATCATGCATCTTTTCCCCAACAACCCGCAAACTTAAATCAACCACCACCCAACTTTCAACAAGTCCCTCCTAATTTCCAACAAGGCCCTCCTAATTTACAACGCCCACAGCAATACTACATGGGTAATCAATACTCAAACTTTGCAGGCCCATTTGGTGGAGAAGGGAATGACGATCATGTGTAACAACAGAAGACTTATTTAGTACTTATATTGAGTTATCTATAGGCATTTCGTTTAGGTTATTGAAGTTTTTTATTCATGAACTCTCATTTTGTTGTTTACTACCGGTTTCTGTACTATGTTATGTTGTGAGTTTACATTATTGTGTTGTTTTTGAACAAGGTAGAATTCGACCCTATTGCTATATTGTTGTCAAATTTATGTTATGTTATGAGAGAAGTATTACTTTGAAGACTTGTTATTGCCATATTGTTGTCAAATTTATGTTATGTTATGAGAGAAGTGTTACTTTGAAGACTTGCTATTGCTATATTGTTGTCAAATTTATGTTATGTTATGAGACAAGTATTATTTGAAGACTTGCTATTGCTATATTGTTGTCAAATTTTGTTGTCATTCTCGGATATGATTATGTTGGAAGCATGTTAGAGTTGTGGTCAATATAATAGGTTGACATATATGATTTTTGATGAGTTTTGGACGATTTAAAGGGAATTTCTTGGTTAATTTCGGATTATAGACCTATACATCATATACCACTTTCAGGGATCATGTGGAATGTCGGCCCATCAAACCAAGGAAACACCC